TTCTCTCTACATGTCCGAACCACCTCAACAACCCTTCCTCAGCCCTCTGGACAACAGTTTTGGTAATCCCGCACCTCCTCCTAACTTCCAAACTACGAATTCTCTGCATTATATTCACACCACACATTGCCCTCAGACATGACATCTCCACTGCCTCCAGCCTTCTCCTCGCTGCAACATTCATCACCCACGCTTCACACCCATATAAGAGCGTTGGTAAAACTATACTCTCATACATTCCCCTCTTTGCCTCCAAGGACAAAGTTCTTTGTCTCCACAGACTCCTAAGTGCACCACTCACTCTTTTTCCCTCATCAATTCTATGATTCACCTCATCTTTCATAGACCATCCGCTGACACGTCCACTCCCAAATATCTGAATACGTTCACCTCCTCCATACTCTCTCCCTCCAATCTGATATTCAATCTTTCATCACCTAATCTTTTTGTTATCCTCATAACCTTACTCTTTCCTGTATTCACCTTTAATTTTCTTCTTTTGCACACCCTACCAAATTCATCCACCAATCTCTGCAACTTCTCTTCAGAATCTCCCAAGAGCACAGTGTCATCAGCAAAGAGCAGCTGTGACAACTCCCACTTTGTGTGTGATTCTTTATCTTTTAACTCCACGCCTCTTGCCAAGACCCTCGCATTTACTTCTCTTACAACCCCATCTATAAATATATTAAACAACCACGGTGACATCACACATCCTTGTCTAAGGCCTACTTTTACTGGGAAAAAATTTCCCTCTTTCCTACATACTCTAACTTGAGCCTCACTATCCTCGTAAAAACTCTTCACTGCTTTCAGTAACCTACCTCCTACACCATACACTTGCAACATCTGCCACATTGCCCCCCTATCCACCCTGTCATACGCCTTTTCCAAATCCATAAATGCCACAAAGACCTCTTTAGCCTTATCTAAATACTGTTCACTTATATGTTTCACTGTAAAACACCTGGTCCACACACCCCCTACCTTTCCTAAAGCCTCCTTGTTCATCTGCTATCCTATTCTCCGTCTTACTCTTAATTCTTTCAATTATAACTCTACCATACACTTTACCAGGTACACTCAACAGACTTATCCCCCTATAATTTTTGCACTCTCTTTTATCCCCTTTGCCTTTATACAAAGGAACTATGCATGCTCTCTGCCAATCCCTAAGTACCTTACCCTCTTCCATACATTTATTAAACAATTGCACCAACCACTCCAAAACTATATCCCCACCTGCTTTTAACATTTCTATCTTTATCCCATCAATCCCGGCTGCCTTACCCCCTTTCATTTTACCTACTGCCTCACGAACTTCCCCCACACTCACAACTGGCTCTTCCTCACTCCTACAAGATGTTATTCCTCCTTGCCCTATACACGAAATCACAGCTTCCCTATCTTCATCAACATTTAACAATTCCTCAAAATATTCCTTCCATCTTCCCAATACCTCTAACTCTCCATTTAATAACTCTCCTCTCCTATTTTTAACTGACAAATCCATTTGTTCTCTAGGCTTTCTTAACTTGTTAATCTCACTCCAAAACTTTTTCTTATTTTCAACAAAATTTGTTGATAACATCTCACCCACTCTCTCATTTGCTCTCTTTTTACATTGCTTCACCACTCTCTTAACCTCTCTCTTTTTCTCCATATACTCTTCCCTCCTTGCATCACTTCTACTTTGTAAAAACTTCTCATATGCTAACTTTTTCTCCCTTACTACTCTCTTTACATCATCATTCCACCAATCGCTCCTCTTCCCTCCTGCACCCACTTTCCTGTAACCACAAACTTCTGCTGAACACTCTAACACTACATTTTTAAACCTACCCCATACCTCTTCGACCCCATTGCCTATGCTCTCATTAGCCCATCTATCCTCCAATAGCTGTTTATATCTTACCCTAACTGCCTCCTCTTTTAGTTTATAAACCTTCACCTCTCTCTTCCCTGATGCTTCTATTCTCCTTGTATCCCATCTACCTTTTATCTCAGTGTAGCTACAACTAGAAAGTGATCTGATATATCTGTGGCCCCTCTATAAACATGTACATCCTGAAGTCTACTCAACAGTCTTTTATCTCCCAATACATAATCCAACAAACTACTGTCATTTCGCCCTACATCATATCGTGTATACTTATTTATCCTCTTTTTCTTAAAATATGTATTACCTATAACTAAACCCCTTTCTATACAAAGTTCAATCAAAGGGCTCCCATTATCATTTACACCTGGCACCCCAAACTTACCTACCACACCCTCTCTAAAAGTTTCTCCTACTTTAGCATTCAAGTCCCCTACCACAATTACTCTCTCACTTGGTTCAAAGGCTCCTATACATTCACTTAACATCTCCCAAAATCTCTCTCTCTCCCCTGCATCTCCTCTTCTCCAGGTGCATACACGCTTATTATGACCACTTCTCGCATCCAACCTTTACTTTAATCCACATAATTCTTGAATTTACACATTCATATTCTCTTTTCTCCTTCCATAACTGATCATTTAACATTACTGCTACCCCTTCCTTTGCTCTAACTCTCTCAGATACTCCAGATTTAATCCCATTTATTTCCCCCCCCTGAAACTCTCCTACCCCCTTCAGCTTTGTTTCGCTTAGGGCCAGGACATCCAACTTCTTTTCATTCATAACATCAGCAATCATCTGTTTCTTGTCATCCGCACTACATCCACGCACATTTAAGCAACCCAGTTTTATAAAGTTTTTCTTCTTCTCTTTTTTTAGTAATTGTATACAGGAGAAGGGGTTACTAGCCCATTGCTCCCGGCATTTTAGTCGCCTCATACGACACGCATGGCTTACGAGGAAAGATTCTTTTCCACTTCCCCATGGACAATAGAAGAAATAAAAAAGAACAAGAGCTATTTAGAAAAAGGAGAAAAACCTAGATGTATGTATATATATATATGCATGTGCGTGTCTGTGAAGTGTGACCAAAGTGTTAGTAGGAGTAGCAAGATATCCCTGTTATCTTAGCGTGTTTATGAGACAGAAAAAGAAACCAGCAATCCTACCATCATGCAAAACAATTACAGGTTTTTGTTTCACAGTCATCTGGCAGGACGGTAGTACTTCCCTGGGTGGTTGCTGTCTACCAACCTACTACCTAGACATGAGAAAATAGGTCTATGTGGTGAGTGTGCAAAATCCTGCTCCATGCAGTACATGATGAGAAAAGCAAACTTCTGTCCCTGTGTTTTCTAGGATGGTATTTATGCTTTTATTGGCTATTTCTTGGTTTCACTGGAGAGAGTGGAAGACACAACAGAAATGGTTATGATTTTGGCTAGTTTCAGAACCAGACAGCTTGAAATAGTGCTCAAGTAATGGAAATGTACAATTTTTTATGATTTTCCTGGGGATGGGCAATGGCCCTTTCAACCCCCAGTCTGTTTTATGTTTTTTTTACTAAGTCTGCTTCAATTACTGGTATGCCCTAAACCATGACTGATTGTTTGTGTGATGATGAATTCAAAATGAAGAGGAAGTGTAATATAGGAGAGGCCTGAGGACATCATTAATGAACAAAGAAATTGTTAGGTAAGACACATATGCAACAGTTGGGTATCTTTATTATGAAACGTTTCGCCTACACAGTAGGCTTCTTCAGTCAAGTACAGAAAAGTTGATAGAAGCAGAAGATACTTGAAGACAATGTAATCAGTCCATCACCCTTAAAGTTTTGAGGTGGTCAGTCCCTCAGTCTGGAGAAGAGCATTGTTCCATAGTATGAAACAATATGGAGATGAAGTGACAGGATGGAGCTTTTTATAGCGCCAAGAGGTGAGACGTAGGCCACTAGGAGAGGTAAGAACTCAGATGTTGGGAGGTCAGGTCCCTCTCTAATCCAGCCGCTCTCACTAGTGGAAGTTGTCGAAGTTGATTGCAGGTCTGTACCAAGATACCCTTGTGTTGCAGTGTCTGACAGATTGAACATTAAAATGGTATAAAATACCTGTCGGTATTTTATACCATTTTAATGTTCAATCCGTCAGACACTGCAACACAAGGGTATCTTGGTACAGACCTGCAATCAACTTCGACAACTTCCACTAGTGAGAGCGGCTGGATTAGAGAGGGACCTGACCTCCCAACATCTGAGTTCTTACCTCTCCTAGTGGCCTACGTCTCACCTCTTGGCGCTAAAAAAAAATAAGCTCCATCCTGTCACTTCATCTCCATATTGTTTCATACTATGGAACAATGCTCTTCTCCAGACTGAGGGACTGACCACCTCAAAACTTTAAGGGTGATGGACTGATTACATCGTCTTCAAGTATCTTCTGCTTCTATCAACTTTTCTGTACTTGACTGAAGAAGCCTACTGTGTAGGCGAAACGTTTCATAATAAAGATACCCAACTGTTGCATATGTGTCTTACCTAACAACCTGTCGGTATTTTATACCATTTTAATGTTCAACAAAGAAATTGTTGCTTTAGCGGCTGGAGTGTCTACAGTGTTTATTTTGAACTGTCTTATAACTGTAATTTTTTAATTTGTGTAAAACTGGCCAAATTACCAACTTCTATGCACTTTATAAGGTAGTACTGAGAGTTAAATGGGAAGGTATACTAGCAAAATTGATAAGAATTTGGTTGAATTGAACAGTGGAATCAACTTAAAATAGAACTCAAAATTGAAGAAATTGCAGATGCATAAATTATACCCAGAGTGCAAATTTTGAATCTGTATAATTCCACATATTTTGGCATCAATACCTTCAGAAAAAGATTTTCTACCGTTTCAGAAGAATTTTTGTTGTATAAATTCCCAACATTGTCAGCACTTTTAATTTTGGGGGTCCAACAGTGAAGGTGTTTATAGCTTCCCTTGTTAATACCACCCTCTCAAGCAAGTCATTCCCATCAGGAAAAGGGTTTCCTGGACAAAATAAATTATTTATCAGAAACATAGGTAGCTTAAAAATGACAAACAGGACTTAGTGAGTACGAAATTCTTACCTTCTGCTCCAAATTTGAAGCCAGTGACCACTCCTCGAGCACCATTAACAAGCCCTCTGCCTACATCCAAATTCTTCATGAGCATCACTTGAGTACCAACTTTGAGTATTAACTTGGCAACCACAGGAGTTTGAGAGTCCAAGAGCGAAGAGAGACTTGGGTCACTATCTATAGACTGGAACACTTGAGCATTACCTGTGCCAGTAAAAATTTACTTTCAATCTAGTTGCATTTCACACATTTTACAAGCATTAAAATAATTTGTATTATAAGCACAGTATCAACTAATTTTAAATAAATTTCTTGATCTCAGATCATTGTTATGTACAGGTGTCCCTTGCATTATGTGATATGTGTTCCAGACACCTTGCAGCTTTACTAAGCTCGGTTAGACCATCAGCACTTAATTATGCAAAAGGGCTTGCAGTACCTTTCGTAAACAGGATCAACCACATATAATGAACGTATACTGCACAATATATGCGGGAAATCACAAAATAGAATATTTACTCAAAGCAAACAACATGAGGTGTGGGAAATGTACATACAAAGTGTTTTATTGTTTTGTATGTTCACAAATCCTCCATGGGGAAGTGGATCACTTTTTCAAGTTTGTGACTTGAAAAAGCCCACTGTGTGGGCGAAACGTAGTCAATAAAGGATCACATTATACTGCATTTGTGTTTATATTGCCATTGTGTCGGTATTTTATACCATTTATTTCCATGGGGAAGTGGAACAGAATTCTTCCTCCGTAAGCCATGCGTGTTGTAAGAGGCGACTAAAATGCCGGGAGCAAGGGGCTAGTAACCCCTTCTCCTGCATAAATTACTAAATTTAAAAAGAGAAACTTTCGTTTTTCTTTTTGGGCCACCCTGCCTCGGTGGGATACGGCCAGTTTGTTGAAAAAAAAAAGTTCACAAATATTTTCCTTTCTGTATGTAATTACTGAAACAAAATTTGTTTTAGCGTCTTTTGGGGTCATTCTGTCATGGTGGTAGATGTCTGATGTATTAAATAAAATATTTATTTCAATATACAGTAGTGAACTGTTCACATTAGTCTAGATTACATTTTTTCACAAGTTGTGAGGGCATGCACTGTGTAAACTTGAATACAGACATAACCATCTTCACAGAAAAACTAGCATATTTCTGCCCATCTTTGTTACTTTGAACTCCCCAAAGATTACATTTGCAGTGCATAACTTATTCCCTACTACTTCTGTTAATATAAACTGTCTGAATGTTGGCATTAAAACTTATAATGTTCCTGTAACTCAAATTTGCAGTTTTAAGTTAAGCTCTTCTTGTCAGTGAAACACTAATAGCGCAATCATGCAGCAATACTCCATTGATATTATTAATGCACTCTTACAATTAACCCATTACTAAACTTACAGACCTTTTTATACAGTATTATACCTAAGTGTGTGCTAACGTATACATATTGGTAGGTAGTGACTAATTTTCATGGTATCAGTATCAACCTAAACCTTAATATTGGTATTGGCAGTGGCAAAAATTTGGTATCATTCCATCCCTAATTATATTCCAAAAATATTTCTTCTTACTACACCTGTGATTGATTTCAAGGTTCTTTTATTTCCATAGCCTGTCCAGAGGCCAAACTTCATTGATGATGATGTCTGACTACCTGGTCAACCAGTCTGGTGCTGCTAGTGGCTCAAGAGGCCTACATAACCATCACAATCTGACTGATCAGTCACACACTGTAAATAGTTGTCTAGTTTACTCTTGAAAACTTCTTTGCTTTCAAAATATTTCTCCAGTCTGATAAGATTTTGAAGTCTTCTTTCTTTTTTCAACAAACCAGCCATATTCCACCGAGGCAGAGTGGCCCAAAAGGAAAAAAAAAAATTCTCCTTTTAAATTTAGTAATATATATAGAAGGGGTTACTAGCCCCTTGCTGATTTTGAAGTCATGTACAAATGTTTGACACAGGATTCTCTAAATGTACCTAAGGATTTCTTGCTTTTGTTACTGACTATTTTCTATGTCCACAGATTTATTCTCTATGTCCAAAGAATAAATCCTGATGATGACAACTGAACTTTCAGTGAAACATTGCTAATTGTATAGTGTATTAAAAGCTTTAAGAAGATAGCGTTTCCCACTGTAAAAATATACAGTCTATAACATTTATAATCATTAGTTCTCTTTTTTTTTTTTCTCAACAAGTCAGCTGTCTCCCACCTAGGCAGGGTGACCCAAGGAAAGAAAAATACTTTCATCATTCAACACTTTCACCACACTCATACATAATCACTGTTTTTGCAGAGGCGCCCAGATACAACAGTTCAGAAGCATATAAAAAGATACAGTATAAAAAGTGACCTGAAATATTATAATAAACTCCCCATAGAATATAATATCAGGGCCCCAATTATATATATACCATCCTATTACACATCCCTCCAAACTGCCAATATCCCAAACCCCTCCTTTAAAGTGCAGGCATTGTACTTCCCTTTCCAGAACTCAAGTCCTGCTATATAAAAATAACTGGTTTCCCTGAATCCCTTCACTAAATATTACCCTGCTCACACTCCAACAGCAATAAATAAATACAAGTGTGTCAGATAGATGGCTGTGGTTGCCAGGAAGTGTTATGGGCACACATCCACTGCACTGGAATTGATGAATAAGACAAATGTGCAACAGTTTGATATCTACTGTGGAAATGTTTCTAAACATTTCAAGAATAAAGATACCAAACTGTTGCACATGCATCTTACTCATCAACCTGTCAGTATTTTATACCATTTGAATTATTTTTTTTTTTTTTTTAACACACTGGCCATCTCCCACCACAGTAGAGTGACCCCCCCAAAAAAAAGAAACACTTTCATCATCATTCACACTATTGCTGTCTTTGCAGAGGCACTCAGATATGATACTCTACTTTTCTGGTCATTTACTGTACATACACACACACAAAAAAAGTACAGTGGTACCTTGAGTTTCGAACAGCTCCCAACTCAAACAATTATGTAAGTGTATTTTTGTAAGTGCCTTTGTAAGTGTATTTTTGAGGGCCTGAAATGGACTAATCAAATTTACATTATTCTTTATGGGAACAAATTAGTTCGACATCGGCACTCGAACAGCCTTCTGGAACACATTAAGTTTGTAACTCGAGGTACCACTGTATTACTGAAATTTATTTGGTAAGAGCAGAGTCCTGACAATGTAACAAGTCTGTCTCACATGCAGTACTTACCCATCAATTTATTAAGATGTTCTTCATTGATATGGTCAACATCTTCACGATGAGTACACAGTCTGGTTGCCTTAATACCATCCCGCTCTATAATATTAGCTTCAGTTGCTTTTAAACACTGCACCATATCATCAGTGCACCTATTAAATGGTCTCCATTAATAAAATTAATTCTGCACAATGTGAAAGGCTTCTAACAAAACTTTGTAATTGTATATATGAATAATAGTTTCAATCATGCAAATTAAAATTCCTCAAAGAGTCACAGACAAGTCATGTTACTCATTTAACAGAGTGAGAGAGAAATGCTGGAGCTTGCTTGATATTTGGCACTACTCTTAATAGGTTTGTATTGGCACTTCTGACCATGTACATAACACAAATTACTCTAAATGGTACAAATAAACCCCACCACACACACACACACACAAAAAAAAAAAAAAAAAAAAAAAAAAAAAAAAAAAAAAAAAAAAAAAAAAAAAAAAAAAAAAAAAAGGATATGTAGAATATATATTTTGATCTTCCTCTGAGGTTTTTAAGCAGACCAGTGGCAGGGGCAAAATAAACCATATTCTTATTTTGCTTTGGCAACTGTGACATACACGTTCTGCGGTTGTACAATATCAAACCAACTCTCCTTTTGTGTGTCATTCCTTGTTGATACTGTAAAATCATTAGCTAATGAACACATGAAATTGTCAGGCACTAATTGATTTCTAGTTAGAAAAACTCTCAAACACATCAGAAACAAAAATATATGTATTTGTAAAATGTCACCTCTCTCTCTCACAAATCAGTCATATTGCCCATCACTTACTACTTTTTTTTTCCTAATATTCACATGTGCTGCTTCATGACAGGCTTTGCTTTTTTTTCATCTAGATGAAACCTATAATGCAGTGGATAAAATTTGTGAATTATTCCTGCCATGGTATTGTGACTGATTTTTCTAACATGTACAATCACTATTTTTTCTACTATGCACAATCTGCACTCATTAAATCAATGATCCTTGATTTCTTGATTAGGATTTTTTCCTTTAAAATTCATTTTCTTGTCTTGGCTATCCTAATTTCACAAACTCTGCCTACTCCCATACTAGACAAACTGTTTTTCTCCTAATCTTTTTCTCTTCTCTGAAAACTCCTAAGCTTTGCAAACTATATTTAGTAGGCAAAATTTACAAAATTTTAATAATACCCTCTATCCAGTTCCTCTTGCTCTCTCCAATATATTGGTGAAATTCCTTACTACTGCTCCTCCTGCCTGTTCTAATTACAGCTCCTCTTGCTCTTTCCAGTACATTAGTGAAACTTGCCACTCCCTTGTTGACAAAAATGAAACAAAGTGTTTGCCTTGCTGCTACTAACACTGCTTTTTTCTGTCATGTTGAGAACGTAATTATCCCCACAAGCAGGGATGATTATGGTCCCCAAAACAATGTATCACTGTTCTAGCCTGCACATATACCAGCTTGTTGTAGTGGCACTATACACAACTTTTTTTTTTTTTAACAAGTTGGCTGTCTCCCACCGAGGCAGGGTGACCCAAAAAGAAAGAAAATCCCCAAAACGAAAATACTTTCATCATCATTCAACACTTTCACCTCACTCATACATAATCATTTTTTGCAGAGGTGCCCAGAACACAACAGCTTAGAAGCCTATATGTATAAAGATACACAACATATCCCTCCAAACTGCTAATATCCCAAACCCCCTCCTTTAGAGTGCAGGCATTGTACTTCCCATTTCCAGGACTCAATTCCGGCTATGTAAAAATAACCAGTTTCCCTGAATCCCTTCACTAAATATTACCCTGCTCACAGTCCAACAGATCGTCAGGTCCCAAACACCATTCGTCTCCATTCACTCCTATCGAACACGCTCATGCATGCCTGCTGAAAGTCAAAGCCCCTCGCCCACAAAACCTCCCTTACCCCTTCCTTCCAACCTTTTCGAGGACGACCCCTACCCCACCTTCCTTCCCCTACAGATTTAAATGCTCTCCCATGTCATTCTACTTTGATCCATTCTCTCTAAATGACCAAACCACCTCAACAACCCCTCTTCAGCCCTCTGACTAATACTTTTATTAACTCCACACCTTCTCCTAATTTCCACACTCTGAATTTTCTGCATAATATTTACACCACACATTGCCCTTAGACAGGACATCTCCACTGCCTCCAACCACCTCCTTGCTGCTGCATTCACAACCCAAGCTTCACACCCATATAAGAGTGTTGGTACTACTATACTTTCATACATTCCCTTCTTTGCTTCCATAGATAACGTTTTTTTGTCTCCACATATAACTCAATGCACCACTCACCTTTTTTTCCCTCATCAATTCTATGATTAACCTCATCCTTCATAAATCCATCCGCCGACATGTCAACTCCCAAGTACTATCTGAAAACATTCACTTCTTTCATACTCCTCCTCCCCAATCTGATATCCAATTTTTCTTTATCTAAATCATTTGACACCCTCATCACCTTACTCTTTCCTATGTTCACTTTCAACTTTCAACCTTTACACACACTCCCAAACTCATCCACTAACCTTTGCAATTTTTCTTTAGAATTTCCCATAAGCAGAGTATCATCAGCAAAAAGCAACTGTGTCAATTCCCATTTTGTATTTGATTCCCCATAATTTAATCCCATCCCTCTCCCGAACACCCTAGCATTTACTTCTTTTACAACCCCATCTATAAATATATTAAACAACCATGGTGACATGACACATCCCTGTCTAAGACCTACTTTTATTGGGAAGTAGTCTCCCTCTCTTCTACACATCGTAACCTGAGCCTCACTATCCTCATAAAAACTCTTTACAGCATTTAGTAACTTACCACCTATTCCATATACGTACTTGCAACATCTGCCACATTGCTCCTCTATCCACTCTATCATATGCCTTTTCTAAATCCATAAATGCAATAAAAACTTCCCTACCTTTATCTAAATACTGTTCACATATATGCTTCAATGTAAACACTTGATCTACATATCCCCTACCCACTCTAAAACCTCCCTGCTCATCCGCAATCCTACATTCTGTCTTACCTCTAATTCTTTCAATTATAACCCTACCGTACACTTTTCCTGGTATACTCAGTAAACTTATTCCTCTATAATTTTTACAATCTCTTTTGTCCCCCTTCCCTTTATATAGAGGGACTATACATGCTCTCCGCCAACCTCTAGGTACCTTCCCCTCTTTCATACATTTATTAAACAAAAAATACCAACCACTCCAACACTATAACCCTCCCTGCTTTTAACATTTCTGTCATGATCCCGTCAGTTCCAACTACTTTACCCCCTTTCATTCAATGCAATGCCTCACGCACCTCCCCCACACTCACATCCTGTTCTTCTTCACTCCTAAAAGATGGTATAACTCCCTGTCCAGTGCATGAAACTACCGCCTCCCTTTCTTCGTCGACATTTAAAAGTTCCTCAAAATATTCTTACCATCTACCCAAAACCTCCATCTCCCCATCTACTAACTCCCCTACTCTGTTTTTAACTGACAAATCCATTCGTTCCCTAGGCTTTCTTAACTTGTTTAACTGCAAAATTTTTTCTTCTTTTCATTAAAATTTCTTGACAGTGCCTCTCCCACTCTATCATCTGCTTTCCTTTTGCACTCTCTCATCACTCTCTGCATCTTTCTTTTACTCTCTATATACTCTACTCTTCTTATAACACTTCTGCTTTGTAAAAACCTCTCATAAGCTAACTTTTTGTCTTTTATCACACCCTTTACTTCATCATTCTACCAATCACTCCTCTTTCCTCCTGCACCCTCCCTCCTATAACCACAAACTTCTACCCCACATTCTAATATTGCATTTTTAAAACTATTCCAACCCTCTTCAACCCTCCCACCACTCATACTTGCACCAGCCCACCTTTCTGCAAATAGGTGCTTATATCTCACCCGAACTTCCTTCTCCCTTGGTTTATACACTTTCACTTCCCTCTTGCTTGTTGTTGCCATTTTCCTCTTTTCCCATCTACCTCTTACTCTAACTGTAGGTACAACTAAATAATGATCCGATTAATCAGTTGCCCCTCTATAAACGTGTACATCCTGGAGCCTACCCATCAACCTTTTATCTACCAATACATAATCTAACCAACTACTTTCATTACGTGCTATATCATACCGTGTATTTTTATTTATCCTCTTCTTCATAAAATATGTATTACTTATTACCAAATCTCTTTCCACACATAGCTCAATTAAAGGCTCCGCATTTTCATTTACCCCTGGCACCCCAAATTTACCTACTACTCCCTCCACAACATTTTTGCCCACTTTAGCATTGAAATCCCCAATCACCATTACTCTCACACTTGGTTCAAAAACTCCCTATGCATTCACTCAACATTTCCCAAAATCTCTCTCTTTCCTCTATACTTCTTTCTTCTCCAGGTGCATATATGCTTACTATAACCCACTTTTCACATCCAACCTTTATTTTACTCCACATAATCCTTGAATTAATACATTTATAGTCCCTCTTTTCCTGCCATAACTTATCCTTCAACATTATTGCTACTCCTTCTTTAGCTCTAACTCTATTTGAAACCCCTGACCTAATCCCATTTATTCCTCTCCACTGCAACTCCCACCCCTTTCAGCTTCGTTTCACTTAAAGCCAGGACATCCAGCTTCTTCTCATTCATAACATCCACAATCATCTCTTCTTATCATTTGCACAACATCCACGCACATTCAGACTTCCCACTTTGACAATTTTCTTCTTCTTATTCTTTTTAGTAATTATTACAGGAAAAGGGGTTACCAGCCCACTGTTCCCGGTATCTTAGTTGACTTTTACAACATGCATGGCTTACGGAGGAAAGATTCTTATTCCACTTCCCCATGGATATAAAAGGAAAAGTAATAAGACCAAGAACTATTAAGATAAAATCAAAGAAAACTCAGATGAGTGTGTAGAAATAAACATGTACATGTATGTGTAGTGTGACCTAAATGTAAGTAAAAGGTAAAAGGGCACAAGTGCAACTAATAGCTAATGTGACATTATATTGTGGCAACATTTCGCTCTCCAGGAGCTTTGTCAAGTCCTAACGTGAATCATGACCCGTTTTGTTTCTGTAAATGTTGGAACTTTCCAATATGTACTCAAATGCTGTAGTCTTCAGAACATGTGTAACTTGACCTGACCTTGGCATTCTCCTACCTTCTTTCCCTGACATGTCTTCTGACTTTCTCTTCTCTTCACCTAACCTGTCTTCTGGCTTTCTCTGTTTTTCTTTCTTAGTTGTAACTTGATAATGACCTAGGTTCAGATTGAAATATCATCTAAAGTTTCCTCTCCAAATTGTGGGTTAGTTGTAAGTTGTTCTCATTATGGTAACTGCAACAATTATTCTTAAATGAATTAAGGTTTTATGAGAAGTGTGAAGAGAAGACAAGGCGAGACATTAAAGGAATGAATGTATATTTGAATGCAAGATGTTTCAGGGTGGAAGCAAACACAGTTTTCTAAGTATATTATCACAAACTTGAGGCGACGAGATACTTTTGATACATCACTGACGAGTTCCAAGAGTCTTTCTACCCTCAGAGCCCAGTCATATACCTTGTGCTTGAAATGGAATTGTGTGCTTTCCTATAACAGGGCTTGATTTTTTTTTTTAAACTCTTGCAGCATGGACTGAAGCCAAACATATTTGTGGACTGCCTGATAAGCCAAACTTTTGCTGCTTCTATTCACATACCAGCATAAATATCACAGCCAACCTAATTTGGTACCTACTATAGATTTTCACGTACAGAATTCAGAGAGAAAAGTTGCTCACCTTCCAAGACGAACTGATTGTAGGATATTAATAAATTCATTATCGTCTTGTCGTCGAACCTCAGTCAGTTCCACATTTACACTTATGCAACGATTCCATGCAGACGTCTGAAAACAGAACACTCTTTTCTCTCCAGGCTTTGTAACTGGAGGCAGTTGTAAGAAGTCTCCACAAAATATAAGCTGTATACCACCAAATGGTTTGTCATTTCCCCGAATTGCTCGTCCCACTGCCTCTAGTTTCTTGAAAAGAAAAAATATATGCAATGTAACGTACTGTACATATATACAGTGGTGGGTAACAAAATAATTCAACATCATTTCAAAATGTGGCAATTTAAAAAATAAAAGATCACCTCTGTTATACGTATTGAAGATCACAAGGATCATTAGCCTCAAGACCCGATCACAAACCAGGACTGCTGGTGATTGTGCCCTATAGTCCAACAAACACCACAGCCTGACTAATCAGGAACTGTTTGTATGAATTTGTCAAGTTTTTCACTTTAAGGCAGAAGTGTGTAGGTAATTTGCCATCATCAGTCTCCTGGGTGGAACCTTATCAAAAGCCTCATCCAAGTCAAACAAACATCTTATACTCTGTCACAGTTCACTGTCTCAAATATCAATGAAAAAGATAAGAAACATGAAAAAAGAAAGCATATTAGGCCATACTCTAGGTAGGTCTAATCTGCACCCAAACATTCCTACTCAGACCTAGAACTAGAAAAACTCACAGGTAAGGACCCACTAGGGAGTGAGGAGAAAGTTAGGATAGTTGAAGAATAGATTTGGAAAAGGAAAGAACTACAGTATAAGGAAACAATCCAGGGCTAAACCCAGCAGCAAAGGCATTGTCAGGCATGTGCTCCCCAACTCTTCAAGACTCATCGGGCAAGGTCGGCAAAACGTCAGACAGTGTGGTGGCCCCAAATGACTAAGCAAAGCTCCTCACCCAATTGCACAGTGATGCACATTCACGGCTATGGTATTTTAAAAGTGACGGATGGAGAGATATTATAGCAACAATGTTATTTGCATTAGACCATCAAGACATTTAAAGGTCATGAAAAGTGGCTGAAGTAAAGGCTAAGTGAAAAATGGATGAGGAACAGGAATGTAAAGTGCTCAGAAGAGGTTTTGAAGCTTGTGAGGGTGTCTGATAGTGTCATCAAGAAAGAAAGTCCATAAATCATGGTATGTCTCAAGTCTGTCAAGCTGCCTGTCATTTAATGTTTACCAGATGTTCAGAGCTGGTATGCGTCCTGAGATGGAGTGATCTGCTTCAGGTAAAGTCCTGCCACCTCACATCCAGCGCCCAGTGCAATGCCCGATTCTGGATTCACTGCATTTCCACTCATGTATATGTCCAACACACTTTACAAGCTTCCCAAACAACTTGTTTTGAGTCTTCCTACTCCTGCTACCCAGCCTAGGGTTAGGCTTTTCTGGGGCCTGCCTGGTCAACCTGGCCATAGCTGTTGGCAGATAGCTGGCCCACATATCCATCACAGCCCAGGTGACCAGGCATTTGGTGGAAGTAGAGACTTAGTTTCCTGAAGACTTATACATTTATTTCTGCAGTATTTCAGATATCTGCTGGTAATATACTGAACAGTCTAGGCCCACAGATGTTGATACAGTGTTTTTGTACAAGAGGGTCCCATTGATACAGCCTTTTTTCACTTTCAAATGCATATAAAAGCCTGATAACATCTTTACACTATCATGTATTATGTGAGCAATTGCCATATGTAATCACTGGTTCGCAAAGCATACTGAAGATTTATTATATGTAATCAGGTGATCATCACTTTAGTGAGGTTAACATAGATGCTAAGGGCCTGGGGTACAGCTACAGCATAAATTAAGACACACCTGTACAAAACATTAATCTTTCTTTCTTTCAACACACCGGCCGTATCCCACCGAGGCGGGGTGGCCCAAAAGGAAAAACAAAAGTTTCTCCTTTTACATTTAGTAATATATACAGGAGAAGAGGTTACTAGCCCCTTGCTCCCGGCATTTTAGTCGCCTCTTACAACACGCATGGCTTATGGAGGAAGAATTCTGTTCCACTTCCCCATGGAGATAAGAGGAAATAAACAAGAATAAGAACTAGAAAGAAAATAGAAGAAAACCCAGAGGGGTGTGTGTATATATGTGCTTGTACATGTATGTGTAGTGTGACCTAAGTAGAAGTAGCAAGACATACCTGAAATCTTGCATGTTCATGAGACAGAAAAATGGACACCAGCAATCCTACCATCATGTAAAACAATTACAGGCTTTCGTTTTACTCACTTGGCTGGACGGTAGTACCTCCCTGGGCGGTTGCTGTCTACTAACCTACTATCTATGCAAAACATTAATATAGTTGGTAATTTTTTTTTTTAACTCGACCATCTCCTGACCCAGAAGGATTAACAACATTATAGAAAATTATTTTACTATTAACCCAGCCTATGACAAAAATGGCAATAACTCATTAATTATCACTCCATGTTCAAATTCATATTCACAGAGAGGATGCATCAGAGAAAACAGTGTCTACTTTTCTTTGATTCCTTCCATGTAATAGAATTTCTGAATTAGCCACTCATGATGAACTCTACTGAATGGTTCCTAAATAGCTTACATCTTCAACTATGGTAAACTGTACAGAAATTCAGTGACAAATTATTTAGCAGGTTTGTGCTCTAATATACTTTCATCCACTTTTCTCTAATGGCTTTCACTCACTCCATAGCTTACAACATACCTTATAACAGACAAGTAGGTAGAGATTAAAAAAATGAGCATATGCAATTCTACTGGACACTTTTTTTTGAACAGAATTCCCTATTAAAAGTAAAAATGACAAGTTCATCAGCTTCAGCATGAAAGAAATAATTTACTTCCACTGTGCTAATAGTTTTGACTTTCTGTTGTAAATATTTATTGTATATGTTTCTAAACTGTTGTGTTCTGAGCACCTCTGCAAAAAGAGTGATTATGTATGAGTGAGGTGAAAGTGTTGAATGATGATGAAAGTATTTTCTTTTTAGGCATTTTCTTTCTTTTTGGGTCACCCTGTCTCGGTGGGAGACGGCCGACTTGTTAAAAAAAAAAAAAAAAATGGCTTACTTTAAAGAAGACTCCATCAACCATAGAAATTTCATCAACAATGAGATGCTGGCATTTTCTCCACTGTTGGGCAACCACTTTCCTCGATGCCAGCTGGATACATTGTTCAAGAGAAGCCTTTCCACTTCCAATTCCTGAAAATAACAAGAGAGAAGCATTCTTTCCTTCAATATATCTACTCGAATTAAATTGTGTAATTTATAAAGCACTAGAATCAATTGGTTATTTAGTACTTAATAAAAAGAGTTGAAAGCATCATTATTAACCAAGGTATGGGCGGGAATTGAACTTGTTGCTAGTGAGTCGTAAAACTCCAGACCAGTGAATTAGCCATGGTTTATTTGCAACTGTGTCATTATGATTTTGTGAGGCATCATTATTAACCCTTAAACTGTCCAAACATAGATCTACGTTTGCATGTGTAGTGCTCCGAATGTAGATCTACGTTTTCTTTACATAAGAAACAATGTAAATCGAACGTAGATCTACGTTCGGAGTGCTATGCGTGCGAACTTAGATCTACGTTTGGACAGTTTAAGGGTTAATTTGCTGTCATCATTACCAATTTTCAGCAATGCCAGAAATTTGTTATTACTACCAGTTTGCTGTTATTGTGATCAACCTACTGTCATACTGCATAAAATTGTAACATTGAACAATTAAAAGTAATTCTTAGCCCAATAGCTGCAGTTCAAACCACATCCATAATTAATGTAATCCATTTCAAATTCCATAAAAAATTTGGAAGAATTCTCCCAGCTATTTAGGCCAAAAATATATAAGTACAGTGGAATCTCTACTTGCAAGCACATCCATGTGTGAGTTTTCCAAATATCAACAGTCGCTCAGTCGATTTTTTGCTTCCATACGCGAGCGAAATTTCCGTAAGCGAGCAGGCCTCAAGGGAGGTGCCTTGACGCTGGTGAGTGGCTCTTGTTCTTGATCTAGGGAATTGTATCTCATTTGTTTGTTGGACTATCTTATTGAAACTTGGGCAATGTATGATGGAAAGATGCTTCTTAACCCTTTGAGGGTTTTCGTCGTACTAGTACGTTTTACGCGTAGGGGTTTTTGACGTACTAGTACTCATAAATTCTAGCGGCCTCAAATCTAGTGGGAGAAAGCTGGTAGGCCTTCATATGAAAGAATGGGTCTATGTGGTCAGTGTGCACAGTCTAAAAAAAATCCTGCAGCACACAGTGCATAATGAGAAAAAAAAAACTTTGACCATTTTTTTTTAATAAATCAGCGACTTTGCAGTGTATTTTCGTATGGTATTTATTGTTGTATTCTAGTTTTCTTGGTCTCATTTTATAGAATGGAAGACATATTACAGAAATTGAGATGATTTTTGACTGGTTTTACAAAGAAAGGTGCCTTGAAATTGAGCTCAAAGTAGCAGAAATGTTCGATTTTTACCAAACTTCAAAAGTAAACAAATCGTGCCAAGCGTGCAATACACGTCAACTGGTGAGTCAATATTCTTTCAC